AGCATGCACCTGAGCTACCTCTGACTCCCGCCACTATTCATTTCCTCTCCTGTGTCTGGGCTACAAATGGGAGATACGTCAAGCAGCTTTGACAAGATTCAGGATCAGCCCCACACTCCTGAGCTGGAACACCAAAGGCTGGTGATAACATGCCCTCCAGGACACCTGGAGCTTACATTGGCTCCCCCTTGCTCTGTCCAGCCCCACCGGCCATGGAGAGTCTCACTGACCTGCCACTGAGGCTCTTATGGTCGCACAAGACAGACCCTGGGGCGACCCTAGGGAATGCGGGGCATTGAAGGGGCTGAGACTGCAAGGAAAGCTACCTCCCTCCTACTGACCCAGTGCCCATAACCACTCCTGTGATTGCCGCCCAAGGGCGTCCACATCAGTTGTTACGGATGAACCAAGGGCAGTTTGGGGGAGCAGCATTGCTCTACTGTGGAAATGCCCCTTTGGCCTGGGCAGGTACAGCTTTACCATAGTGAGTTTCTCTTAAGACAGACGGGCCCTGCCTGCCCCCCCTTGGGTGTCTCATGGATAGAATAAGGTGGGCTTTGTGGATGGGTGGTCCAGTGTTTTAGCATTTAAACGACTGATTCGGACTTTCCCCTACTTGGGCCACCTTTCCGGCCTGTTTCCATCCACACACGTGTGAACCCGTGTCCCTGGGTGGTGTGTGCTCACCTCTGCACAGGTTCCTCCTCCCTCCTCCCAGCGCTGCGTCCCTGGGGGTGTCTGTGAGCTCCCCCACCCGTGAGAGCGGATCTGTTCCCCAGAGAGGCTCTGCCCCTCCTGCCTCCTGCTCCAGCGGTGTCCCCCTCGCCCCTGCCCCTCACGCCTGTGTCAGCTTAGCAAGTAGCTGTGTGCAGAACATGTCATTAAATGATTTTCAGCGCTGCGGTGGTGTCGCAGTCTCCCAGTTGACGGCGCTGAGCTTTGTCATTCCCGCACCCGCCTCTTCTCTTCCTCAACCCTCCTTCTCCCCCTCTGCCCCACTGCCGAGTGGAAGAATTAACCTTATGAAATGAAATGTTAGATTTGCCGGAGACGCCTGTTGGAGAGACAGCTCTGTGCAACCTCAGAAGAGGCCCTGTCTAGCTACCTAGCGTGTCCAAGGATACACTCCCAAAGGCAAGGATCACCAGACATTCGAGGAAGACCCAGAAAGTGGGAAAGAAGGACCGAAATAAACAGGACCACGTCCCCGGGAGAACACACGCCCCGGAGACCAAAGATGAGACTGCGAACATTCTCGGTAGAGCGTTCAGCAGACTGAAGTGGGTATGACCGTGTCCGCAAAGCAAGAGCGAACCAGAATCGAAAAGGAGCAACCGGGAAATACGCAAGAGTTCCTTAAAATTAATAAGATAATTGCCAATTAAAAAAAAAGTGAGCCCTGGCTGGTGTGCTCAGTGGTTAGAGCGTTTGCCAGCGCTCCGAAGGCTCTCGGGTGCCCGGTATCCGGCGGGCAGAGGCCAAGGGCGCGGGCCAGCCTCCCGTGACAGACGCGGTGGTGAGAAGCCTGCTCTGAGCTCATCGCCCTGGGAGCGAAGCGTCCTTGCTGTCCTCTGGTTTTCACAAGGACCTTGGCTGTTATCCCAGGCGCGAGCCCAGGTCCTGTGGGGGGGGGGACTCAGGAGGGATGCGGCGATGGCGATGGCGATGGCAGACGCGCCTGCCTTCCCGCCGCAGGAGAGGGCTGGACGGGGCAGCTCAGCGCTGGCGCCCATCGCCCTGTTTGCCCTCCAGGCCCCGCCATCCCTGCCCCCCGCTGGACTCCTGGCACCAGGTTCCTGGCGTGTCTCCCCCTCTTTGCACCTGAGTTAATGGCGGCAGCTGTGAACAGAGGCGTGGCTCGCTAATAACACGCCAGTCACTTTGGATTCTGTCATAATTACCTTCCTCATTTGCACTTGTGCGCGAACACCTGGGGTGTGAGCTCCGGTTGGCATTTCCTCGGCTCCTTTCCCACCCAGAGGGTTCTTGCTGCCGTCTGTGGATCCCCAGTGCCTTCCTAAACTCTCTTGTATCCGTTCTCCCGCGTGTGGAGTTCGTCTTGGTTTCTCCTTAGTTTGGCCTCAGGTCTTTCTCCACCTTCAGACACGATAACAATTCCCCTTTCTTCCCCCGTGACCTTTTCCCCCTCTTCCCCTTCCTAAACCACAGGGAGAGATCGCCTCCTCCCTTGGCAGTATGTGCTTTTGGGTCGGGGGGTCGTGGTTCCCGCCCCTAGAGCCCCAGGAGAGCAGGGAGGAGGGACCTGCCCTTTTGCCACCCAGCGCAGAGCCTGAAGGCCAAGGTACACAAGGCCACGGCCAAGGCATAGGGCAGGGCAGAGAGACAGTGCCCTGGCTTTGTCCCCACCTGGGAGAGAGCCACAGCCAAGGTCAGCGAACTGGGGTCGGGGAGCGGGGGAGGCTGTGTCACCCTGGGCAGGCCCTTTCTCTACCCCCCCCCTTATGTAAATCATTGTGCTGGGCTGGGAGCTAAATGAGCGAAAGGGTTAGTTTGCTAATTGCTGAGTCCTGTTGCTTAGAGCTGCACTATCATTTACATTAAAACCACTAATTAGAGCAAAATCTTTAACAAAAGAGCCAACCAGCTGTTGTTTGTGGTTTAGGGAAAAAAACACAGATTTTTTTTTGGAGGGGTTTGTCCCTCTCATATCAGGAAACACCCCGAGTGCCTCCCTAGCTTCTGACCTCTCCCAGTGTCCTTTGCCCTGGGAGTGGGTTGTGGCCTCCGCTGTGTTGGTTCAGAACAATCTTGAGAACAGTAGGTTTGTAAACACTGGACTCCCCAAAAGTAGCAGGTGCCCAGATGGAGGCATCTCCAATGTTCTCTCACGTAGCCGTGGACGTGGGCAGCTCCTGGGCTCCCCGGGCTGCACGGAAAGAGGCTGCCCCCCTTGGTGGAAAGGGTGTCCGCAACCCTGAGACAGCCCATCTCAGCCCGTCTTGAAATCCAGCTCTCACCTGTACTCACACTGCCCCCGGGACACCGTTCTCGCCCACCCCTTCCTGAAGCTCGTCAGATGCATGGGGCAAACCTGAAAATGTTGAACCGGAATCCAGACCCCTCTCTGGAGTCACAGCTTCTACCCTTGGGGATGTTTCTGGAAGAGAATGGAAGGGAATAACTAGCTATGGAGAGCGAAGAGCCCGGGCCTCAGAACCACAGCCCAGTTGGCCTCTCAGAGCCCCATTCGCCCTTCCCCTCTGATCCGTAGGGTGGAGGTGACGATTCTCACCTCCTAGCCCCTAGCTCAGGGCCTGGTGTAAAAAGCCCCCCCCCCCATTTCTCAAGAGAAAGGTGGCAGAGAGGCTGAGACCTCAAATATGAGTCCAGGTTTGGAAACTGGAGTCATCTGAGAGGAAAGACTGACTGAAGACTCAGCCCTTATTAAGAATTGTCACCAGGAGCCTTAAAAATAAATAACAGTAAGTAACATTTTAAAGCCTCACTCTGAAAAGCCTGGTTGCTTTGGCCATGTTAACTCGGCCGGCACTTGGGCTGAGAATGTGTGGAAGGGGTGTTTTGGGGCTTCTGCGCAGCCCTGGCGTGAGTCATGCACGAGGGGAGGCTGGGCCCGGGGCCTCTGGGCTGCCGCCTGGCTTCTGAGTCTGCCAGTGACCCAGTCTTTCCTCATGGTCTCTGGGGTTCCCTCCACTTCTTAAGTCCTAGGACTCTGAATTCCATGGTTGGTCATCATGAGAAATAGGAAAGATACTTGGTGGGGCACCAGAATCCCAAATTCTCAACCAGCAGCCTCTGGTGCCCAAAGTCACCCCACAAGGTCCCAGCAGGGAGACTGAGGCACAGGGAACACTTGGTGCCATAGCAGGTCTGTCTGTGGGTGAACCAGACAGGGTCACAGGTGAACTCGCTCCCCTTAACACAGGTCAAGCCCCAGGGGCCTGTTGTCCCCGGTGCCTCCTGGAGTCATTATTACAATCCTGTATCCTTAGCCCACCCTCCGCAGGACACAAGGACAGCAGGGAGTTAGTTCAGAGAGACAGTGGATCCCAAAAGAAGACAAGCCCTCCTCACTTGGTGGGCTTGCCCTCTTCCCTCTTCATAACGAAGGTTCCTCCTGGCCCCAAAGTCCTTGGTCCTGAGCCTGGCCAATGCTGGGAATTCTGTTTCCTATTTGGGTGGAGGCTGAAGTCCCCCATGGATGTCAGGAAGTGCCTTAATTATGCTTCTGCCCCACTGGCCCCAGGCCACTGGGACAGTTCCATTATTTTTTTCCGTAGCCCTTACCTCTCCGTCAGATACTTGTGGACTAGCATCTTCCTTCCACTTTTAATCACCGTCAGAGTGTTGGTGAACTTGGCAAGTGCACGAGCCCCACTGGACAGGACTTGGAGAATCATTTCGTCCATCCCCAAGCTCCAAGCCGGACCCCAGCCACACCACCTCAGAGTAGACTGTGACAGTCTCCACCATCTGAGGATGGCTCGCCAGACACCTGCAGTGACATCATTGGGCCACCATGTCACCATTGGGCGTCTTGCTCATGAGCTAATAAAACGCTGCCTGTTTAGGTCAGGGGTCGTCAAGCTCCTTCTGTAAAGGGTCAGGTGGCAGGTATTTTAGGTTTTCGGTCCATATGGTCTCTGTCACCACTACTCATTTCTGCCGATGGAGGGCGGAACCAGCCACAGACAATTCTTCAGGTGCTGTGTGCCACTAAAACTTGGTTTATGCACGCAAGAATTATACAACTTTTATGTGTCACGAAATATTCCAACTTTGATTTTTTTTCCCCAACTACTTAAAGACGTAAACCTTGTTCTTGGCTTGCAGGCCATACAAAAACTGGCGGTGGGCTAGATTTGGTCGCCGGGCCTTTGCCGGCCGGCCCGGCTTAGGTTCCCACCGTGTGGATTTTGGTTAGTGGCCGCCCACCGCACCCTTCGCTGACGCGGGGACGGCAGTGAGCGTCGCTGGAAGATCGCCCCTGACCCCGCGCGCTCTCTCCGCGTCTCTTTCAGAGGGCCTCGCCGTCGGAGTCGGCTTCGGAGCTGTAGAGAAGACAGCGTCCGCCACCTTCGAGAGTGCCAGGTAGGCCGCACCTGCTGCCCTAGCTCCTGGCCCCGCCCCCCGTGCTCGACCCGGACGAGCACCCCCAGCCCACAGGGCCAGGCCACGCTCTTACCCGCGAGGGGCGCTCNAGCCACGCGGGGGCGGGGAGGAGGCCAGGCCACGCTCTTACCCGCGAGGGGCGCTCCTCCGGAGAAGCAGGTTTATGCCGGCTTTTCCAAACGTGCTGTCTCATGGTGACCCCTTGAACACACAACGTGGGTGTGACCGCATGCTGTTGTCCAAACTCTAAATGGATAAAGACGGAAAGGGGGTAGCAAAGGGTAAAGGGGGTCAAATATACGGTGTCAGAAGGAGATTTGATTCTGGGCGGTAAACACCCAATGCAGTGCGCAGATAATGTAGCATAGAATCGTACACTTGAAACCTATATAATTCTATCAACCCCTCCCCCACCACACACAAAAGACTAAAGACAGAAAACATAACACAGGCAAGCAGTCGACGCCCCCAACTGCGCCGTCGTCTTTGAGGCCCTGCTTCTCTGTCTTGACTCTGGCCTCTCCTGGCTGCCCCCGCCCTTATGTCCGCCCCTTTGCAGGGTCTTCTGCCAGCTTCCCATCCGGGGCCCTTTCTGAAATGTTGATGCTGCCCAGAGACCTATCTCTGGGGCATCCAGTCTTCCCACTTAATGGCCCCTCCTCGAGGGACTGTCTTCATTCCATGACTTTGCATTTCATTTATTTGCTGGTGGGGCCCAAGTTGACCTTCAGCCTAGACTTTTCTTCTGAACTCGTTCCTTCTGGACATCTCCACATAGATATTCCTCAGCATCCTCACCTCAGTGTTTCCAGAGCCAAGCGCATTGTCTCCGTCTGCTCTCATGCAAAGCCTGCCCCTCCCCCAGGGTCCCCGTCGCCGCCTCTCGCCCAGCCGACCAGGCCAAACTCTGTCATCCTCAACTCCTCCTGTTCCCTCATTTTCCATAGGTGGTCACCGGGCCTGGTTTATTCTCCCTGTCTTCTCCCTCCCTCAAACGAGACGGGGCCATGATAAGGCCAGTCACAGCCTTGGGGTCATCAAGGGGACTCATCCCTTAGTCACCATAGAGATGAGCTCCACCTGGCCCACCTGTGTCCACAAAACCATGCATGTTGCCACCTCCAGGCTGAAGGAGGGCAGCGAACTCAGATGACTTCAAGCGGTGAAGGGGTCCCCAAAAATGAGTGGAGACAACTGGGTGGAACCCGTCGGGTATGGTGACATCAGAGGTGAACCTCAAATAGACAGCCCATGCACGATCGAGCGGCACCTGAATTCACAATTGATTTAAAAATGTAATTCAGGTCAAAGAAATGTCCCACGGCCACCAGTTTCTGATGCCTGCTTCTGGCTTATTCCCCTGCCTTCTCACTGGTGCATCTCAATGTATACTTTTTTTTCCTGCTAAGGAACCACCTCCCTTTTTTAAAAAAAAAAAAATCTTTATTGATTTCAGAGAGAGGAAGGGAAAAGGAAAGAGAGAGATAGAAACATCAATGATGAGAGAGAGTCATCGATCAGCTCCCTCCTGCACGCCCCCGACTGGGGATTGAGCCCACAACCTGGGCATGTGCCCTGACCGGGGATCCAACTGCCATCTCTTGGATCCTAGGTCGATGCTCAACCGCTGAGCCACGCTGGCCGGGCAAGAACCACCACGTTTAATGATCAGCCCCGTGCCTACTGGTCAGAAGCTAATTTTTCAGGAAACCCCTTTCCTCGCTTCCCCGGGCCTGCGTGGGGCCTCCTAGACCTCATCACCTGGCTTCACGGGGTCCTTCGGCCGATGTGGGCCCTGTGTGGTCAGTGTAGTCTCTATCGAATGCTAATGCTGTGCGTAGGGACACATCTACTCCACAAAGCCAGCATGTTCTGGGTTGGAATTTTCTGTTCTCAGCTTCTCATTCCCGCCTGTCGGATGCCCAGGGCGCTTCCTCCCTCCATCACCAGCGCCATCCATTAACCTGACACCCGTGGAGAAAATCAGATGAGACAGGAGGTGGGGAGGGGCCTGCAGCGTGTGAGAAATGTCGCTGGAGTCAAGGGCTGATTATGACTCACGGTGCCTTGCAGGCTGTTTTTCCAGCACCAGGCGTGAGGTGGGGAGTGTGGCTCCTTGTCCCTTGGCCATTCTGATTGTGGCTTCGGTTAGAACATGAGGGCCTTCAGGGTTGGGCAATAACCGGGGGGTGAGGAGCCCGGAGGGGCTGACCCTGTAAGCATCCCAAGGCCAGGCCGTCCCAGAGCACGGGGGCCGCACTCGCTGTGAGGTCCGTGCCCTGGGTGTGGGGCCCACAGGCCAGGCTTTCTGTCTGGTGGCACCACATCTCCCATGACATCGAGATATCAACTCTGATGTCCCTCTGTTCCGTCGCCTGCACTTTCTGCCAATCCTCATAAGTATTTCTAAAGAAAGTAAGCAAAAGCCTTCCCAGCCCAGCTCGCCCTTCCCTTGGCCAAGCAGATTCTCGAAGTTGCGTAGACCTCAGGACCCCCGGACGGGGACTGATGGGGCAGCAGGCCTCTGCTAAACAGCATCCCTGGGAGTTTTCATGCCACCACACTCCACCCCGGGTCACAGCTGTGACCTTCGTCATCACCACTGTGTCCAGAGTGCCCTGGGGGGGTTGTCCCTGTAACGCAGGTGCTGGTTGTGGCTTCGGTTTTCTCCCTCCCTCCTTCCCTCCCTCAGGCTGACCCGACCCTTCAGCGCGTTTTCCTCACTTACAGATCCGTAGCTAGTGCGTGATTTGGGCCCTTCCATTCCGAATGCCTGGGGTCCTACTCATGATCGGAAAAATGCAGAACAGCCCCCAGTCCAGACGGGTTGGATTTCTCTGCCCTTAGCTCAAGCTGCAGACCTGGTTTAGCGGGAGGATGGTGACCGGAGGGTGGGAGGGAGGAAAGAAAAGAGAGGAAGGCAGACTAATTGCTGGGGGAGGGGCGAGAAGCAGAGTCTCCAGATGATTACACACATCTTTTAAGAGAGATAGGCTTTGCTTCCTAAAATCCCAGTCGTGTAGGATCAAGAGGTGGCGCGCCTCGGACACCACCCGGAAAGGTTAGAGATAAAGGAATGAAAAGGGATGCTGCTGATGAGAAGAAGGCAGGTATTGCAACTTTAGTATTAGACAAAACAGACCTGGAGGCGGAAGAAAGGTCAGTACTTAGCCACAGGAGACACAGCTCCGGGATGACACAACGATCCCGGTCTGCGAGCACCTAGCAACACCCGCTGCAGACGTGGGAAGGGGAGTCGTCAGAGAGGCAGGGAAAACAGGCGACAGCGCCGTCAGGGTGGCTGAGCGCCGTCCCCCCTGATTCCGGTAAAACAGATGAAAACAGCACGGTGTACTGAATGGGCATGGCTGGAGCCCCAGCCCGGCCGCTGGAAACGCACCCTTTCCCGCACACGTGGGCGTGTTTCCTAAATCGATTCGAGCGCTGAGCCGCACAGAAAGTCAGAACGGCCCGGACACCGCCGCGCAGACCGGTGTCCGCCCTCAGTGCGACACATAATTGAAAGTCAATAGCACTTGGCGGCCAAAATGTCCTGTTAGTGGGCAGCGAAACCCGTCTGCAGGCATCTTGAGATGAGCCAGTGTGAGCTCCAAGGGAGGCATACAAACCAGATGACCTAAGAAACCAGTGGACGCGGGGCAAGCGCTTCCCCCTCGCAGGGGCTTCATGGAGCGGGCATGTTTCTTCGGGATAGGTGGAGCTGATAGGGCAGGTGACACGCTGAGCGGGTAGGTCCCGAGGCATTTTCAGGACCGTGGACATACATGTGACCGCGATAGAGGTCCCACGCTTTGTGGAAGGGAAGGCGGAAGGGTTGGCAGCTGTGATGGTGCCGACACAGGGAAATGACAAAGCCCGAGAGGCGATTTAAGCCCTGACCCAGCTCCCCTGGAATAAAT